CACAGTAGACAATGATGGCCTTGTCAACCGGAGACAAGAGCTCGTGTAGAAGCTGACGAAGCCAGGAGCACTCGGCGACGACGTTGGCAACGGCGCGGTACTCCGCTTCTGCACTGGAGCGGGAAACAACGGGCTGCCGCTTGGACGACTATGAGATGAGTGATGGTCCAAGGTAGACGCAATAACCAGAGGTCGAGCGGCGCGTGTCAGGGCAGCCGGCGCAATCAGCGTCAGAATAAGCCGTCATATCCAGAGAGGATGAAGCCTGAAGTGACAATCCAAGGTCCAAGGTGCCACGGATATAGCGCAGAATGCGCTTGACCGCGGTCCAGTGAGCATCACGAGGAGCATGCATATGGAGACACACCTGCTGTACAGCGTACTGGAGCTCCGGACGAGTAAGAGTGAGGTAATGAAGAGCACCAACAATCGACCTATAGAACGGAGCATCTAAAGCAGGAGAACCATCTGTGGCAGAAAGCTTGGCCTTCGTATCGACAGGTGTGGTAGCCGGTTTACAGTTAAGCATCCCGGCAGGGTCCAGAAGCTCGTGAGCATACTTCCGCTGATGAAGAAAGAAGCCATCTGCTCGACGAATAACCTCGATCCCGAGGAAATAGTGCAGAGGACCTAAGTCCTTAATGGCAAACTCAGCACGAAGACGATCAGTGAGCTGTCGAAGAAGGGCAGTCGAGCATGCTGTCAAGATGATGTCGTCGACATAGAGCAGCAGGAAAGCAGTAGCATCACCCTGGTGGTAGACAAATAATGAAGCATCGGAGCGAGTGGAGCAGAAGCCAAGCTGAGTAAGAAACGCTGTGATGCGCTGGTACCACGCGCGAGGAGCTTGCTTGAGCCCGTACAAGGACCGAGAGAGCAAACACACATGATCTGGAGAAGACTCATCGACGAACCCAGTCGGCTGCTGACAGAACACCTGTTCCTCAAGATGACCATGAAGAAAGGCATTAGAGACATCCATCTGGTGCACAGGCCAGGAGCGAGAAACCGCCATCTGAAGAACAGTCCGAATCGTGTCGGGCTTGACAACAGGAGCGAAAGTGTCGGTGAAGTCAACACCCGCTCGTTGATGAAAACCCCGAACGACCCAACGAGCCTTGTGTCGGTCAAGAGTACCACCCGGATGAAACTTGTGCTTGAACACCCACTTCCCGGTAATGATGTTGGCCCGAGGAGGACGGGGAACAAGCTGCCAAGTGTCATTGCGTTGCAAAGCGTCAAATTCCTCCTTCATCGCGGCGAACCATATAGGGTCGCGAAGCGTGGAATGGGCGGAGGTCGGCAGGGGTGATGGTGACGAGGAAGACGTCGAAGCCACATAGGTGTACTCATCCGGAGGGTAGCGAGTGCTCGGCCGATGGACACCCATGCGCGACCGAGTAACTGGGCCGGCAGGTGGTGGCACCACAGCAGCAACCGGCGGTGGAACGGCCGGTGACGGAGGAGACGGGGACGGGGCCGGCTGTGAAGTAGCCGGCGACACGCCCGGCGAAGAGGCCAGCGATGACGCCGATGCAGGGACTGGTGAGGCCGGCGAGGGAGCCGGCGTAGACGCCAGCGAGGCCGGCGAGACCGGCACATGGACCGGCGAGGCCGGCGCAGAACCCGGTGGTGAAGAGGCCGGCGAGGCTGGGGAGGCCGGCTCGGAGGCCGATAAGCCCGGCGAAGCAGCGGGCAGAAGCCGGAGTGCCGCGCGACCGGGAGGTGCCCCACGCCGTGGCAAGGAGCCAAGGCGGACAGGGTTGGCTAGAGAAGGGCCGGGCGCCGAGGAGGATGTCACCTGTTGTTCCTGTTTAAACGGAAAACAAAACTCGTCGAAATAAACATGCCGAGATGTGATGACACGGTGGGAAACCGGATCATAGCATCTATAGCCCTTTGTATTAGCCGGATAACCAAGGAAGACACAGGGAACGGAACGAGGAGCAAGTTTATGAGGAGAAGTGGCGGCTATACTAGGGTAACAAAGACAACCGAAAATACGAAGACCATCATATGAAGGAGGGGACCCAAAGAGAAGTTGGTGTGGCATAAAGTTCCAGCGGGTGCGACATGGACGAAGATTAATAAGGAGGGTGGCGGTAGCGAGAGCGTCGGGCCAGAAGCGAGGTGGCATGTATGCATGAAAGAGGAGGGTACGGACGCAATCGTTAAGAGTGCGAAGAATGCGTTCAGCCCGACCGTTCTGCTGTGAGGTGTAAGGACATGTAAGCCGGAAAATTGTGCCATGTGCGGAGAGAAGATTGCGGATGGAGGTGTTGTCAAATTCTTTCCCGTTATCAGTTTGCAAAGCGAGAATGGGACGACCGAATTGCGTAGAGACATAAGAGTAGAAGGCGGTAAGAGTGGCAGCAACTTCAGACTTCTTACGCAATGGAAAGGTCCACACAAAATGAGAGTAGTCATCCAAGATAACAAGATAGTATGAAAAACCGGTATTACTAGCAACGAGAGAGGTCCAGACATCACTGTGGATTAATTCAAAAGGTAATGATGCAACTGTGGATGAAGAACTAAAGGGAAGGCGAACATGTTTGCCCAGACGGCATGCGTGACAAGAGTGCGCATCCGTTTTATTACATGTAAAAGAAAAGTCCCTAATAATTTGATGAAGAGCGGTGGAGCTAGGATGACCAAGACGGGCGTGCCAAAGATCGACGCCGGCAGAAAGAGCAACTGGCCCAGCATGTGTGGATGATGGAGGCTGGACGGAGTATGTGTCGCCGGGGCTGTCACAGCGGTGAAGAACCATCCGGGTGAGGGCGTCCTTAACAGAAAAACCAACTTCGTCAAATTCCACAGTTACAGAGTTATCACGAGAAAGTTTATGAACACAGACTAAATTCTGAATAAGTTCAGGAGACACAAGAACGTTATTGAGATAAAGTGGTCGAGAGTTCGAGGGAAAACTAGTGGAACCAATGTGAGTGATAGGAAGACCAGCACCATTACCGACAATGATACGAGAGGAAGTGTGTATGGGAGACGCGGAAGAGAGATTACCCGGATAAGCGGCCATATGCGAAGATGCACCGGTATCCATAAACCAGTCGCCACCACCGGAATAAGCCCCGGTCGGAGGCTGTTGATGAAGAGCAGCAAGCAGGGCCGGATCATAAGAGACCGGCGTGGGATAGCCCGAGTAGCCGGTCACTCCAGCGCTAGGGTTTGGCCCGCCATAGCCAACCGAAGCGGGAGAGTAGTAGGGCTGTGGGGCAACCGGACCGGGTTGCTGACCGGCGAAGAAGGCCTGATGACTGGAAGGGCCGGGCCCGAGGAGACTCGGAGCGGGGGGTCGGGGCACGGGCATGGTGTAGGCGTGCACAAACCCTGTCAAGGGGTTGTGGCCGCCCCCCCCCCCCCACGGCGGCGTCGGCTGCTGCTGGGTAGGCCCGGCACGTGGCTGCTGTTGCTGTTGCTAGCCTTTGCCGCGACCGGCGCCGCTGGCGCGGCTGCTGCTGCTGCGGCGGCTGTTGAGGAAGAGTCGCAGGAGCCGCAGGAGCCGGAGGACGCGACTGGTACGAGGCGCCGTAGGCGCCGTGCGGCGCAGGAGGGGCCGCGGGCCGGGGCACCGGGAACGGCGCTGGAAAGCCGGGGGGCGCGCCCGCGGGTGCAGGGCCGCCGCGTGAGAAGCCGGCGGCGAAGGCGGTATGAACGGCACGGGAGCGAAGATGCTTTAACCGGCGTTCCTCGAGACGGAGATACGCCACCGCCCGCTCGTAGGTAGGGTTCGCCATGAGGGTGAGGTTGGAGGCGGCGTTGCCGAGATCCTCATTGAGGCCGGCGGTGAGAGTGGAGAGGAGCAGCTCGTCGCCCACCTTGAAGCCGATGTCATTGAGCTCGTCGGAGAGGGTCTTGAGGCGCATGCAGTAGTCGTCAACGGAGGAGTCGTTTTGGTGACACCCGAAAAACTCCTGCTGCAGAAAGACGATCCGTTGGAGCTTGTTGTCGGTGAAGAGGCCAATGATCTTGTTCCACACCGTGCATGCATCGTCCTTGTCGCGAACGACGGTGTGGAAGATGTCCTTGGACACGGTGAGGAAGAGCCACCTGATGATGGTGGCGTCGATCGCCAGCCAGTCGGCGTCACGGTTCAGGACGAAGAGGTTGGCGGTGCCGTCGATGTGATCCTGCAGGTTATACTCACGGAAGAGGAGATTGAAGTATGTTTTCCAGGCATAAAAGTTCGCCTCTTTGTGGGAGAGGATGACTGGAATGCGACGTTCGATGGGAACATCGCGGATGTAGGCAGGGTCGGGCAGGGTGGCAGCAGAGGAGCCGGCGGAGGAGTCGAAGGGGTTCGGCGGACGGACGGCCGGAGGAGTGGAGGCGGCGCTGCGGTGGGAGAGATCAGAACCGGACATGGCTGCAGATTCGGTTTTGGCTGGGTAGGGTTAGGGTTTGGGTGGCTAGCGGTGGTTGGAAGCAGCGGGGCAGAGCAGGGCGATCGGGAGGCGGGCGTAGGCGAGCAGGAAGTGGTGCTAGCGGCGCGGAAGTGCGGGGCGAGCGGGAGGCAGGCGTGCGAGGCGAGCAGAGGGATCGGGAGGCGAGGCTAGCTACGGTGACGGCGAATAATCTGCGACGCGGGCGTAGCGAAGGGGCTAGCGGCGGCGGCTCGGAAGCAACGGCGACGCGGCTAAGGCAGGAATCGGTTTTAGGCTGATACCATGTGAGGATTATGCAACTCACGATATATTGATCGGGTGCAATAGCATGTATATATAAGTACAAAGGGTAGCCACGTCCTCAACTATACATGGAAGGAGGAGGGCTTGTTGTACAAGAAATACACATACATATATCTACATCTCAACATATATAAACGAGACAGCCGCAGTGTGAGCTCATCGCCTCAACACAGCCATTCCTCGGCAGTAGTTAAATCCAATCGATCAGGCTCGAGCTACCATAGCTACAAAAGAGTGAGAGTTGGAGCGAGAAGAAAAAGACTCGCAAACTTCCAAGCGGGCAAGACGACGATGGTGCTGCTGCAGGTGGGGTTCGCCGGCATGTACTTCATCGCCGTGGCGTCCCTCAAGCACGGGATGAGCCACTTCGTGCTCGTCGTCTACCGTAACATCGTCGCCACCGCCGTCATGGCGCCCTTCGCCCTCTACTTCGAGAGGTAACCCTACCTAGCTAGTTCAATCACATTTGTGCTAGCTCATGCGCACCCCACGATCGAGCAAACACCACACGTACAAATTTGTTCAGTCCATTCCCATTTTTTTGTCTCATTTAGATGGTGCGACCTTCTAATCCAGAAAAGTAGTACATACATACCCTAAAAAAAGTTACTAGTAAACATATGCATCTTGATACCTTATTCTATTTTGTACCGGCAAACCTCCCCCCTTTCCTTGTAACGCGTCAAATAAGCATATGTCCATGCATGCAGCATCTATATATGGATGGATCCATCAGAATATCAGAGTGCATTAGTCAGTAGAAGTAGAAAATTACGCATACGCAGGTAGAAGTAGAAAACCAGGAACCATTGTCACTTCACCACACCATCCTCAGTTCCACTCATATACTCTATGCATGGTTCATTTCGACGTTTATACCTGGAGTAGTATTCATGAAATTAAGATCAGAACTAGTTAACGTGCTAGTAATTAATTTGTATTTACTCCAACGTACGTGACATGCATGTGCAGGGGACTGAGGCCAAAGATGACAATCACCATCTTCATCAAGATCATGGGGCTCGCATTACTCGAGTACGTGCGTTGCGGTTGATTAATTCGACCCGCCGTCGTCTGTCCATCCATGCATGACGACAGAGTCCAAAGCTGCTGTTACTAACATGTGGTTTGTTGCGTCGGTACCTGGCAGGCCTGTGCTTGACCAGAACCTCTACTACATGGGCGCGAACCTGACCTCGGCGGGGTTCGCCACGGCGCTGGTCAACATCCTCCCGGCCGTCACCTTCGTGTTGGCGCTCATCCTGCGCATGGAGAAGGTGCGGCTGCGCAGCCTGCACAGCCAGGCAAAGATCGCCGGCACGGTCCTCACAGTGGCCGGCGCGGTGCTGATGGTCCTGTACCACGGCCCCGTCGTGCAGTTCCCGTGGACCAAGGGCCAGCACCACGCCGGCGGTGCGGCTGCCGCCGCCGACGGAGCGGCGTGGCTGAAGGGGACCATCATGACCGTCGCCGCCTGCGTGGCCTGGTCGTGCTTCTTCATCCTCCAGTCCAGCACGCTCCGGGACTACCCGGCGGAGCTGTCCCTCACGGTGCTCATCTGCAGCGTGGGGTCGGTGATGAGCACCGCCGTCGCCGTCGTCGCCGAGCGCGCCAATACCCATGCGTGGGTCATCGGCTTCGACACTCGCCTCTTCACGGTCGTGTACGGCGGCATATGTGCTCCGGCGTGGCGTACTACGTGCAGGGCATCGTGTCGAGGCAAAGGGGCCCGGTGTACGTGACGGCCTTCAACCCGCTCTGCATGATCATTACCGCCGTCATGGGCTCCATCATTCTCAAGGAGGAGATCACTCTCGGAAGGTACGTATTATAGTGCTGCTGCCATTTTCAGATCGACGATCGAGTACATGCATTAGTTCAACGCACGAATGATATCATTTCCTCTCTTTTTTTCTGTTTTCAGTGTGATTGGTGCAGTGATCATTGTGGTAGGCCTCTACTTTCTCATCTGGGGCAAGAGCAAGGACGGCACCAGCCAAGTTTCGGACGTCAGTGTCAAGGGCGCCGGCGAGCTGCCCTTAACCACGGCGACCAGCGGCCACGGCAGCGGCAGCGGCAAGCACGTGCTTGGAAATGGCAACGGCGACGTCCATGTCTTGGATGTTGAGACCAATGGCCACTAGCCCACTACTCCCTCCGTTCAAAATTACTTGTCACAAAAATAGATAAAAATAAATATATCTACAACTAAAATATATCTAGATACATTCATTTTTTAGACGAATAATTCCGAACCAGTGTAGCGAGAGTAGCATCGACGAGTATGTCTGCCTTTTCCCCCTGGCATATAGTGCATGGTCCATCGATCGATCATGCATGAAGATGAATTTTGTTGTCCATTTTCCTCCTGTCAGCTTTTCCCTAGCGACGATCCTATCATGTGACTATGTGAGATAGTGAGAGTGAGCAAGTGCTAATTAGAGCGACTCCAACGGGCCGACCAAAACAGATGGCGCATTTGTCCGTTTTATGTTCGTTTGGGTCAGCCGCCGGCCCGGCGTCCGCCCTGTTTTGCATTTGGGTCGGCAGTGCGTCCAACACGCCGATTCATTTTTTGTCCGCACTTAATTTTTAAAAAAGGCCCGCAGCCATAGGTCATGCCAGCGGCCATGTCTCATGCCGGCACCATGCCAGCACCGGTATACATTGCCGGCTTGAAAAAATATCACCACACAGTTCATGCTGGCGCACTCGCCAGCGGCCGACACACATGCCAGCACACAAAAAAGGGTGGGACTTGAGTTCGACCACGCCATCACGGCCCCGTGGTCATGCCAGCGCACAAGCCGGCATACAAAAAAGAAGGCACTCGCGGCCACGAGATCACTCGTCATTGAACTTGAGCATGTCGGCCTGCATTTTCTCGAACCACGGCCTCTTCCTTGGTGACACGGTGTTGAGATCCACCGTCATGATCTCCACCCCGGCCATCATGCTTGCGAGAGCCACTTCTTTGGCCTTGGTCTTGGCGTTGGCGGCCTCGATCTCGAGCATGTTGGCTTGCTTCTCCGCCTCCAACTCAAGCATCTTGGCTTGCTTCTCCGCGACCATCTTTAGCCTCCTCCTTTGGATATCCATGAAGGCGTTCATTTGCTCCTCTTTGAAACGCCGGCGCTCCTCCTCTCTCGAGTCCTTCTTGTTCACATGCCCATCATGCTTGCGATCAAGGCGTTCGATGCCACATCCCGCTTGTCCTCCTTCTTGGAGTTGGTCTTCCCCCACGGTCGAGCCGGCTCACCGTCCCCAACCTCCTCCACGGCTTCCTTCCCCCCGCGCGACTTGAGGGTGGCATATTGCGCGTTGAACTTCTCCTCATCTTTGATGACCCTATAGCAATGGGAGATGTTGAAGCACTTGCCGTTGTGTTGGACCTTGAATGCCTCCAAAGCTTGAAATGCCTATAAATGTTTTCATGCAAGCATGTTGGCACAAATGGTATGCAAATGAACACGCAAGCATGAACTTGATGACACAAAAGAGGGCGCCTTGCTACCATAACATGTCTTGCATGCCGATGCCGCTCACGGGGTGGGCCTTGACGCTCTCAAGAGTGGCACAAAACTTTTTGCACTCTTGTTGGATCACTCTCCATCGCTTCGAAATGGACAACCACCCATGCGTGCTCACAATTTGGTAAGGAGGAAACTTCTTGCGCTCATGAAACTCCCGGTGGACACGAATCCAAAAAGTTGAATGCTTTTGTTCGGCGCCGGTCTTGGGGTCTTGTCCAATGTCTCTCCAACACTCGCAAAGAAGCTTGTCCTCGGCCGCCGTGTATGCCTTCATGTGCTTGCTCTTGCGCTTCGGCTTCGGCCCAGGGGCTTGGTTGGCGAGCTCGTCCTCAAACAAAGGCTCCACTTTGATGTCGCACTCGTCTTCTTCCTCTTGCATGTAGTCGTCTGGAAACTCGTGGTCAAGTGGGAAGCCATCAAGGTCCATGCCGACCTGATCACACTTGAAGGCTGACTGATCATAGCCAGCGCCTGGCATGAACGCCCCGCGGCCGTCCTGGCTTTGTGTCTCGTCGGGGTCATAGCCAGCGGCCGATGCACCGCCCTTGAAGATGAGGTTCTGCATGTAGTCCTCGTCGCCGGCGGCCGGCATTTCATCGAATAGGTTGCGGGCATCCGACAGCACATCGGCCAGCATCTGCCGCGTGCATTTCCTCGCGCCTCCGGATGACGAGCCACCGACTACCGGTGTGGCGTTGAGGTCGATGGGCGCGGGCGCGGGCGTGGAAGGCGCCACCACGCTCACGTCGTGCGAGCACTCCCCAGAGAGGCGGGAGGCCTGCCACTACTAGAGAAAACCCTAGCAGTAGCGCGGGTTTAATGCCTATCAGTAGTGTGGGGAACCACGCTACTAGTAAGGCGCTACAGCTAAAGGTTAGCAGTAGCGTGGGTTAAACCATGCTACTACTATATCGACTTAGTAGTAGCACTTTCTGCAATGAGCGCTACTGGTAATTAGTAGTAGTGCTTCTCCCAGCACGCGCTACTACTATTATGGCGTATTTTACTTCTTTTTATTTCATGTTGTATGCATACACCTTTATACAAGTTTTCATAACGCAGCAATTTAGAGATTGCTTTTACATCATAATGAGTTATTACATCAGTGGGAGAAAGAACCGTGGACTAGTTTCAAGTGGATGGACATCCACTTGAAACTAATCCGTGGTTCTTTCACCAAATGATATAATAAATATCATCATCATCATCATATCATTAACAACTTATCATCATAATACATCATTGTCATATAACACGTCCTCATGATCATCGTTTTCATCAATGAGACATCACATAGCAAGTTGGTCACTAGTCATAATCACAACTACTCCTCATCATCAACTCTCATAAACATATTGTACCTCATAGGATCTACTACATTCTCTTATGATCTACTATATTCTCTAAGGTAAAATAGCATAAAATAAGATAGCCCCTGACTCTCCATTATGGAGAATGGAGATTATCCTGTCTCCAATTCTTGTCTTTCGCACAATATTGCTTCCAAGAACCTCCTTACGACTGTCCATACATTTTTTCCATTCTTTGATTATCATGTGTTCACGAGTTTTAGAAATCCGGTATGGACATGTGAGATTCGTAGGATGACCTGGCTGTATATTCAGAACATCAAGGCGACCATTCTGATACATCAAATGAGGCACACAATCCATCGGAATTTTCTGTTGAAAAACATAGTAATAACTTCGTAGTTAGCAATGTAGTTCAGTTTTAGAAGTATGCAAAAGATGCACGGATGTCGTAATAGTAAAAAATCTTACCAGGGCATCTCCATGGACGTTATCGTGGTTCAACACATGCACTAGTGGCACTTATTGACCATCATGTGGAGGAGTTTGATAGTAGGCATTGTAATTCTCAAGGTCAGTACAATATTCGACCATATGATTTTTCTCCTAATAAGTTAACTCAGAGCCATCGGCTTAGTAGGTTCTGTCTACCATCTTCCGCACATTCTTTGAAGAATGAAAATAAGCTATCAATCGAAATAAGTTATCAACTATTTTGAAATAAACAATATAAATTAGTTAATAACTATGTTTGAGAAACTCACATAGCGGTAGAATTGGAAGCGTATCAACAAGGACCCAAATGTCCAAATTGTCCACCTCGATGTCAGGATCACCAAGATCCATGGTGATAAGCATACCCTCTTGAAGATCATACATCTTGCAAAGTGCTTCCCAACCCGGGCAACCAAAATGGGATACGCTCTCAGAATTGTATAGATTTACCTCAAAATCCATACTATGATGAGTCCTTCGGTTAATTTTCTTTGTTTCATTCCTCTCATGATCTTCAAAACACATCCTCTCCAATACATAGCGTCTTGCATGGCATGTGATAAGCTAGTCGAATTGTAAAATACGAAAATTACACGTTGAAGTAGTAGAAGTCGAGCTTAATTACGAAAAAAACACTTTGTGTTGTAGCTTACCGTATCACAATCGAAGGCCTCCTCGAGCTTAATGTTGAAGCACCGACCTTCTACCAAGTGAGGCCTGTCGCAGAAACCCCGGTTGTCGCCGCACCAGGAGCACTCCCCGGGACCTTCTTCGTCTCACGACATTTCCTATGTTCATAATTCAAATATTAAACTTGTACAATTAAATATATGTACTACAAAAACTAAATTAGATCATTATTATTCATCACGGGTGGACTATCGGTCTGTCGAGTATTTTCTTCAAAACTCTCAACTCATGTGGTGTATATAATCGACCTTCGGTGATGGTAGCTCCTCCTTTCGTTCCCGAGTGCATTGCACCAAATTGTCTAGCACACGGGAACGAAGGAGAAGCTACCCCCACGACAACAGTCGGGATTCTTCGTCCTCTCATATATGATGGAGACTCTCCCTCACTGATTCCACTCTCACATTTGCGACCGTCGGTGATGGTCCTTACTCCTCCTTCCCCTAGTGCATAACAAAGGTCTAGCACAAGGAGAAGAAGGAGAAATGACCCCCACGACAACAGTCGGGATTCTTCGGCCTCGACAGACTTAAAGTCAACCCGAAATATCGTTTAATTATCTTTCTAGAAAATCCAGGCCACTCGATATTTTCTACATATTCTAGCACAAGTCATGCCAAAATTCACGGAAAATTCCGACATGACCTTTGCTAAATAGGACATATCGAGCGCCTGAAATTTTCCGGAACGAAAATTAATCAACACTCTGGCAAA